TTTTGATAAAAAATATGGAAATATGATAAAATTCATTTTAGAATGGTTTTAATCCCTGTTTTGTAAAAGTTGTTTTTAAGGGAAAATGTGTTGAATGCATTAATTATAGTTTTATAGTGAAAATATGAAAATATTATAAAACTTATATTCAGGAGGGGGGTGGACTTATTTTTTTTGTAAAACTTTTTTTAAGAGGAAATTATGTTCAAATGCATGAATTAGTCATTTGGTGAAAATATGGAGATATGATAACATTCATTTTCAGGGGATTGGAATCCCTACTTTAGTAAAAGTTGTTTTTAATGCTTCTTTTTATTGTGCAAAATGTGTTCAAATGCATGAAGAATTATAGTCTTTTGATTAAAATATGGAAATATGATTAAATTCGTTTTCAGAATTGTTGGAATCCCTGTTTTGTTAAAGTTGTTTTTAAGTGGAAAATGTGTTGAAATGCATTAATTATAGTTTTATAGTGAAAATATGAAAATATTATAAAACTTATATTCAGGAGGGGTGGACTTAATTTTTGTAAAAGTTGTTTTAAGTGGAAATGTGTTCAAATGCATGGAATTAGTCTGTTGGTGAAAATATGGAAATATGATAACATTCATTTTCAGGGATTAATCCTACTTTAAGTAAAAGTTGTTTTGAAGTGGAAAATGTGTTCAATTGCTTGAATTATAGTTTTATAGTGAAAATATGAAAATATTATAAGACTTATATTCAGGAGGGTGGACTTAATATTTTGTAAAAGTTGTTTTAAAAGAAAAATGTGTTCAAATGCATGGAATTAGACTGTTGGTAAAAATAAGGAAATATGATAACATTTATTTTCAGGGGCTTGAAATCACTTCTTTCATAAAAGTTGTTTTATAGTGGAAAATGTGTTCAAATGCTTGAATTATAATATTTTGATGATGGAAATTGCAAATAATAGAAATATGATAAAATTAATTTTCAGGATGAGGTGGAATCCTATTCTTGTTAAAGTTGTTTTAAGTGGAAAATGTGTTAAAGTGCATTACATATAGCTTTATAGTGAAAATATAAAAATATTATAAAACTTATATTCAGGAGGGGGGGTGGACTTAATTTTTTGTAAAAGTTTTTTTTTAAGAGGAAACTATGTTCAAATGCATGAATTAGTCATTTGGTGAAAATATGGAAATATGATAACATTCATTTTCAGGGGATTGGAATCCCTACTTTAGTAAACTCTCGAAACCCATGTGCCAAAGGTTATAAGGCTGCTCTTCGAAAAAGCAACAAAGAAACTTGGGAGGCATTTTTAGCAGAAGCTTATAACTACATTATAAATCTGCGAGATGTATCTGGTAATCTGCTGTACAACACTCGCCGAAAGACAGGATTTGTGGGACTCTTGGTGGCAATAACAAACATCAAGCAAATTTTCTCTGACCTGGTTGAAAGAAAAAATGCACCAATGAAATACATACTAACATACAAGTTCAGCCAAGATCACTTAGAGCTATTTTTTGGGGCAATTCGATCAGCAGGAGGATTTAACAATAACCCAACAGCCCAACAGTTCACAGCTGCCTATATAAGATTACTTTTACGAAGCAGCATTGAAGGTAGAAATGGAAACTGCAAAAAGCAAGATGGAACAGACATCCTTGAGATTATTACTGATTCAGATAATAGAATTGACAAAATGCCAGTATTTGAGCGCTTTTGACACTTTCACCTAGGAAATACATATTTATGAAACCGATTAAATATACAACGTATAAATAATGCCCTTAAAACGTGCTATATGAAGTCATCTTCAGAGTTAAAATGAATCTATAATCGCTTTTATCCCTAACTATCCCTACCATTCATCTCATATATCGCTAATCTTATCATTCCTTAACCACACATGTCATTTATTCCTTGTAATCCCCCAACCATGTGTTCTCCTTAACCTTTATTATCCCATTATTACATGTCTTCATTTATCCCTTAACTATACCTGTTTTTTATTCATCCCTTATCATCCCTTAACCGCGCATCCTCATTTATTCTTTATCATACTTCAACAATGCGTAGTCATTTATCCCCACGCGTCTTTATTAAGTTGTAACTGTTATCTTTCTTTTTTGTTTCAGGAAAAGAAAAGACAAAACGTAAAAAAAAGAAAGCAAACATTGCGCAAATTGAAAATGTTGAATTCACAGAGGCGGAAGAAGGAACTTGTACTGTCAGTTCTCATGGTAGTTCATCCACGAATACGACTGCTCACGATAGTTCCACGAGTTTTACCCGAGCGGCATACGATATATTACAACGTAATACTGATTCTCAGGTACATGCTCGTGGTAACCATGCTTTTACTAAAAGGCCTGACGATTTTCTTGAAGTGCCAAAGAACTCTCAGTTGGCTTATTGTTCAAATTCTGAGAATTCAAGTCTTTCTTCCACAATGGCGAAATCCAACGTTGAGAACAAGGAGAATGAAACAGATGAACAAGTGGCTCGATTAACAAAGAAAAGCCAGGAAGTTCTGCATCTTAAAGACGAGTTTAAAACTGCGAATGATTTGAAAAAAAATCATTCTTTGACAACATCTTTGCAATCAGGGCGTTACACTGACTCATCGCTCTTGTCGGAGGAAGTGTTTGAGCCCTTGTTGATATGAACAGCGGTGTATCTCTAATTCCCGTTGTTTGCCCCGATGACGATAAAGGAGTTAGGGTCTAGCTATGTCAGATGAAAATGAGCGATTTACTGTTGCACCTGAGACGTCGCGACATTTAGAAGATACTTCATTATTTTATCGACAAGAATTTCTAACGAGTTGACCATTTTAACTGAGGTGGTAATTTATGTTGTTTTCAGTATTTACACTGATGAAGACGTCGAGAATGATGCAAGTTTAGCAATAGAGGCAACTGTTGCAGCGATATGTGCCACACGTGATGGTAGCATAGAAATTAATGATTACTCAGGATCTTCATTGGTCAGAACCATGGGTGATGGTTGTATGAATGTTAGTTAATTATGAAATGCTTTTATCTTTTTTAAGGGGGGGTAGGGTAGAAAGCCATCTGTAAATATCTTTGTTATATTTAGTTCGTTATATTTGGTATGTTTTCGTTCTTTAGCCATCAGAGGAATATCCATCAGGCAAAGAAATGACTTCAGGTTTGTGTGTTTTTCTATTCACGTATTTAAATGTTTTATTTCTTATATCTTTTGGAAAAATGTTTTGGGAACGGGAGAGGCACTTTTGCCTCAGGTTCTCAAACTATAAATGGGCTATTAGCAGGTAGAGTTAGTTTTAAATATAGAAATATTTAGTGCAATTGGATTTTACTATTTGTATCGTAGTTGCTTTGCTTGTTTGGAGGCATCGGTCAAATTTCATCATGTGAACTGAATCATTGTAAGTGTGAATAATTATAATTTCATGAATATCAATAAATACGTGATTTTTTATTGTTGAAGAGGAATTAAAACAGGCGATTGTATCGATGATGTTAAGAAAAGATGAAGTTGAAGAACGTAACAGGTTGTATTATCGTCCTTCGTTTAATATTAACATTCCATTCGAATATACACTATTTTGCCCTGATTTTTCCTTCGGTCATCTTTCCTGTAGATCGTTACAACAACATTTGGAAAAGAGATGATGAAGTCAGCTTCTCTTCGTCTTCAATTAGAAGATTTAAAAAGAGCTATGTCGTCGAAAGATGAAGAAAATTGCGTCGCTCTTAACGGCTTGAAAAGGTTAGGACATTGAGAACTCTGCATTTTCGTTAATCAAAGATGTCTGTTGACCTGTTGACCAACTAAAGAAATACGTGGGTGCTGTTCAATCGTTGAAAAGAAATGACATTATGGAAGAAGGTTTATTAGAGGGATAGTTTATCTTTAAAATAGATGTAGAAATCTAAGATATTCGATAATCTTTTGTGTAGCTCCAGAAAATGAAAGACTTTTTCCATCATTCTTTCTCCGGAATCTGACGTCGACGAAGTGAGGTATTTACAGTAAATTTGTAGCAAAAGTGAATCAACGGCGTTGAATTTCGTTTCAACAAAGATTTTGAGCGGAAGTTGATCCAAGTAAGATTTCCATTAAACCATAATACTTTTACAAATCGAAACATTTGCCTAAAAGGTCTTCATGTATCATATGCTTCATGAAGATGAGCCGAAATTTATTTGATAGAAAACGGTGACATCTAATGAAGATATTTTAACTTATGAAAATGAGGATAAATAACTGAAATAATCGTTATATGTTTAAAAATCGCCACTCTGACTGATTTCGCGTTTCTGTTCATGTCTGGGGAATTTCATGGTGATGGCGTCATGGCGTAAGTTGTGATGAAATGTTGTTTATCATGTTTAAAGGTCGCTGATATGCATGGCGAACTTATTGAACGCTCGTGAATATCAGCTAAGAAAATTAAAGAAGAGCTTGTCAATCTTAGAGGACCGGTATGTTCAGTAAAGACCCGTGTGTTCATTATAGTACAATAGATGTACAATATTGATCGGTATGTACAATATGAACTGTTTGGTATGAATATGAAAAGCAGTAAATATTCTTTTCATTTTCTAAGTATTTCTTAATAAAACTACGTATCTTCGTATGTTCTAGCTTCCTCAGGACAATAATCATGATGAATGTTTATATTTGACGGAGTTTGGTCCAAATTTCATGTCTGTCAATACTCGTCCTTTAATTAACATTTGGATTCCATCTGTTTTTGTCCAAGGAAAGTCTCCAAACATTCACCATTCTTATCAGGTATAATTTTTCCATATATTTATCTCTAAAAAAAGTAAATAACTCTTCCGATGTGATGTTGATGGTTATCTGGACTAGGTTAGGGATAACTAGGAAAATATTTCAAGATTTATGATCTAAATTTGGTATTTTCCTCGTTTCAAATACATCACCCTTGAGAAAAGTGTTTGTGGTCATCGTATTTAAAAGATCATGTTGTAGTTTAAATTTACTGCTCAAATATTTCACTTTTCATATGTATATGTTTAGTGGTGTTGAGAAAAAATCACAAAACTACAGATTCATCCCGACAAGCCTGTTTCGTGATTGCTCACTCCTCAGGGGATTTTCCTTTAATCACGAAACAGGCTTGTCGGGATGAATTTTTAATTTTGTGATTTTTCTCAACACCACTAAACATATTTACGCTCTGCTCTCGGGCATCGAGCACTGTTTTAAACGGATTTATACTGTTTTATACTGTTATATATATACAAAGTGTATATACAATGTGCCCTCCCGGCTATCACTATATTAAAATAGTGATTCCTGCACTTGGGACACAGGGCGTACGGTTACACATTGTATGGATTGTATTGTAGAGTCAGCACAGTGCTCATATATATATATATGTATATCATCTGCTCAGTGGTCCATTTATTGTCGTCAATAAAGAATTTAACATTGTTTACTTCACAAGGTTTATATCCGTATCAAAGACGATGAATGGAATGTTTACAAAAGATACTCGGATTTTTATGCCCTACATAAAAAGGTTTTTAATGAACATCAGTATTTTAATTTTTTTAATCATATTGTTTTGCCGTAATGTACAATCCCTTCCTTTTCCTTTTTATGCACAGACAAGCAAGCAGTTTAAACCTGTTGCACAATTCACGTTTCCCGCGAAAAAAAATTCTTGGAAATCGTGACGTAAATTTTGTGGAAAAACGTCGGAAACAATTGGAAAATTACTTGAGACAATTGATCAATTATAGTCTGGGTGCTGTTCCAGAGTTAGGTGAAAATCCTTGCAAGAGTTCTTTGTTCAAATACTTTCCATTTTTCATGTGAGTAAACACGTGATCATGTTTGAGTGTAATTTATTGTTCAATATACAGAATATTAAACGATATTTTAGTGTTAATGTTTGTAAGGCAAGAATAGACAGAAAAATTGAAAGTCAAAACAAGAACATAAAGCAATCTAGCGCATGCCCTGATTGGTCTATAACTGTGTTTTCATTAGCTTCTGCAAACCGATCTGAGCCCAACAAATCAAATCAATCAAAGAGAATTCGCAAATCAATCATGAATACATTTTAGAGGAAAAATTAAATCGTTTGTTTTAAATTTGTCTATTTCGCATTATTGATATTTTTTAAAAGATATTTTTCTGTTTGCACTGCCTTATGCAAACCTCGGAGATGTTTGTGAAATCTTGAGCATGTGCAACACTCTACCTTCGGTTTCGGGCTTGCACTGATCTGCTCTCGTGTTCTCCCAAAGGTCTCCTCGGTTTGCATAAGCCTGTGCAAACACAGTAAAATCTTTTATTTCGTAATAATACAACACAAAGAACTCAAACTTAGGCTTGTTTTAGAAAGAAAATGCTACTACCTATTATTTCATGAATAGTTTATCAATTTTTCCCTAAACTTTCAGCAAATATTTTACAGGCAAACTTCAACGGTATCATCTGTTTCAACGACGACAACAACAAAACAAACTGTTCCTTCTACACATAATGGTTAAAAGGTAAAACTTGTAGGATGTCTGTCAAAAAAAACAGAGCATGGAAATTGTATAACTTTTATTGTATATATATAACATACGTATAGTTCAGTATATGTAAATATAATATGTCTACAAAGTAGAAGAATTTACTGATGCATCAACTTCAAGGACTCTTTATTGTATGTGTTATATACAGATATAATTTGTCAGTATTTGCTACTATATAATAGTACATCATACAGGGTTTTAACAAGTTAAAACATAATATTTAACTTGAAATGAAAGCAATCGTATTTTAAATACATCACACGAAACCTACTATGCTATTAAATTTTGTGCTATCTCTGCACGATTTGATCAATTTACACATACCGCGTCACCCAGCTCTTGCTGGTGAATGTTTATACCACTTGACACGTGACCTATTTTGATCAATACGTCGTATGACTTTTTGGCGATCTTTCCCGCGCTATGTGTAAAGAGATTTCTTGCTGAAACAATCTTTATCGTAAGTATTACGTAAAATATTTCATTTATAAGTTTCAAAGTATTACATTGAGTAATATAACCTTTTTATTTCAAAGAAGGGTAACGCATAGAGTCGTTATTGTAAGTATTGTACAAAATTTCTAAGAATAGGATTTACTACTTCCTACATGTATCTATTGTAATATGAAGATGTCTTCAGCTAAAGACGAAACGTTATTGTTGATAAAATTATATACCCATGGCCATATTAAAAGTTTTATGATGGGCAATTATATTTAAACTAAGAATTCGCTTTCCGCCTTGCAAACCATTTTCACAATATTTTATAACATCACAACAAGTTAAACCTGTTGAATACATGATTCTTTCTTTGAAGCTGTTGCAAAAAGTCGTTTCCAAACTCGAAAAAACGAAGATGGCCGTTGAAGAGTTACGTTTTTTACAAAAACTTATATCAGTTTTACCCTAAAATATCAGCTGCTTCTTCCTCAGTCAAACTTTATACTTCATTCCTCATTCATTTTTCAAAGCTGTCGGGAAAAGTCTTTCAAGAAGTCAGAAAAGAATTTGACGAAGAAACATGGCATTGCCGAAGTTTTTGTTGTACATGGTGGGTTTTTTTTACCAGAGGTTTGACAATTGCTGGTTTATCAAAGATCTTTACGTTAAATACATGATTATTTTTTGCTAAGCTCTTTGAAAAAGTCGTTCAAGAAGTCAGAAAAGACGTTAACGAAATGACGACCGTTACAGAATGGCATTGCGGAAATTTTCGTTGCACAAGGTCGGGTTTCTCTTGGCGAATTGTTGCCTCCAATATTAGCTGCTTTTATGTCCATCGTTTGTATCTTTACTGTTTACTGAAATAACTGCCGAAAGTTTGTGTAAGAACATGTTACATGTTACATGTTCGTTCGCTGAATCACGGCTATCGGGCTCATATAAATAGTCCCTAAAACTAAAGGTAAGTTCATGAAAGTAATCAACTGCATACATTGCCGTCTACTACAGTCTTTGCATTTTTACACATTTTCATGCCAAAGACTATATTTCAGGCAGTTTTACACAATTTCATGCCAAAGACTATAGTTTTACAAACTTTCATGTCAAAGACTATACTTTTACAAACTTTCATGCCAAAGACTATAGTTTTACAAACTTTCATGCCAGACTATACTCTTTGCATTTTTATACACTTTCACATCAAAAACTATAGTCTTTGCATTTTCACACACTTTCACACCAAAGACTATAGTCTTTCATTTTACACACTTTCACATTGTCGCATGGAGATTGAAAATTCTTTAAAAGGGACAACAAATAATACCGGCTGAAAGTAGAATGAAAAAATTAAAAAAATACATTGCAATAATATTTTTCTATCCTGTTCATTCCTTTGATGTGTGCAAAACTAGTTGGTCAGCCTTCATTTACCATTGAAGACCTTTATATAATTTCAATGTCTGTCACTACGCCAAGCCCACAGGTGCATGGAACATTGTTAGCTACGTTTATGCAAGCACAAAGATTTTCCTCCATTGAAAATGTAATGCACTAGTGAGGTTAGCACAGTGATTGGGTTTCGAAATTTTACAGTAGTTTAATTGCCAAACGTCGTTTTTATGTACACCCTGTAGAATGCTAAATAAAAGAGATCAAATGT